TATTCAATTCCCATTTATGAATGAGAACATGTGGTGTTTGGTTTTCTGCTCTTGTGTTAGTTTGCTGAGAATGATGGTTTCCAGTTTCTTCCATGTCCCTGCAAAAGACATGAACTCATCTTTTTTATGGCTGCATAGTATTCCACGCCATATATGTGCTACATTTTCTTTATTCAGTCTATTATTGATGGGCGTTTGGGTTGGTTCCAGGTCTTTGCTATTGTGAACAGTGCTGTAATAAACATACGTGTGCATGTGTCTTTATAGTAGAATGACTTATAATCCTTTGGGTATATACCCAGTAATGGGATTGCTGGGTCAAATAGAATTTCTATTTCTAGATCCTTGAGGAATCACCACACTGTCTTCCACAGTGGTGGAACTAATTTACACTCCCACCAACATGGAAATGCATTCCTATTTCTCCACATCCTCTCTAGCATCTGTTGTTTCTGGAGTTTTTAATGATCACCATTCTAACTGGCATGAGATGGAATCTCATTGTGGTTTTGATTTGCATTTCTCTAATGACCAGTGATGATGAGTCTTTTTTCATATGTTTGTTGGCTGCATAAATGTCTTCTTTTGAGAAGTGTCTGTTCATATCCTTTGCCCACTTTTTGATGGGGTTGCTTGATTTTTTCTTGTAAATTTGTTTAAGTTCTTTGTAGATTCTGGATATTAGTTCTTTGTCAGATGAAGAGATTGCAAAATTTTTCTCACATTCTTTAGGTTGCCTGTTCTCTCTGATGATAGTTTCTTTTGCTGCTCAGAAGCTCTTTAGTTTAATTCGATAGCATTTGTCAATTTTGGTTTTTGTTGCCATTGCTTTGGGTGTTTTAGACATTAAGTCTTTGCCATGCCTATTTCCCGAATAGTATTGCCTAGGTTTTCTTCCAGGGTTTTTATGGGTTTGGGTTTTACATTTAAGTCTTTAATCTATCTTGAGTTAATTTTTTATAAGGTGTAAAAAAATTTTCCAGTTTCAGTTTTCTGCATATGGCTAGCCAGTTTTCCCAACACTATTTATTAAATAGGATATCCTTTCCCCATTGCTTGTTTTTGTCAGGTTTGTCAAAGATCAGATGGTTGTAGATGTATGATGTTATTTCTCAGGCACTGGATCTGTTCTATTGGTCTATATATCTGTTTTGGTACCAGTACCATGCTGTTTGGTTACTGTAGCCTTGTAGTATAGTTTGAAGTCAGGTAGTGTGATGCCTCCAGCTTTGTTCTTTTTGCTTATGATTGCCTTGGCTATACAGGCTCTTTTTTGGTTCCATATGAAATTTGAAGTAGTTTTTTTTCCTAATTCTGTGAAGAAAGTCAATGATAGCTTGATGTGGATAGGATGGAATTTATACATTACTTTGGGCCATATGGCCATTTTCATGATATTGATTATTCCTATCCATGAGCATGGAATGTTTTCCTGTTTGTGTCCTCTCTGATTTCCTTGAGCGGTGGTTTGTAGTTCTCCTTGAAGAGGTCCTTAATCTCCCTTGTAAGTTGTATTCCTAGGCATTTTATTCTCTTTGTAGCAATTGTGAATAGGAATTCAATCATGATTTGGCTCTCTGTTTATTATTGGTGGACAGGAATGCTTGTGATTTTTGCACATTAATTTTGTACCCTGAGACTTTGTTGAAGTTACTTATCAGTTTAAGGAGTTCACCCAGCCAAACTAAGCTTCATCAGCAAAGGAAAAATAAAATTCTTCCATGGTGGAAGACAGTGTGGCGATTCCTTAAGGATCTAGAAATAGAAATTCCATTTGACCCAGCAATTCTATTACTATATATATATGATTATAAATTGTTCTATTATAAAGACACATGTTTTATTATAAAGACACATTGTTCTATTATAAAGACACATATATAATATATATATATATATAATATATATTACTGTGGGGAGCAGTAGCTGTCTTGTAACTATGTTGCTTAAGCTTTTGTTCCTCTTACCTAAACCTCCATCTTGTGGGCTTCCCTTATTAAGTTTCACATTCCTCCTAGTTATGAGGCTAGCCTGCAGCCTCGTCTCCATGGTTACTCTCTGACCTCAGCCCTCAGAACTTCCCGTCCTTACTTGTTTATAAGCAACCACCTTGTAGCTAATAAAAGAGACTTGGTCAGATCCTTGACTTGTCTCCATTCTCCGCATCTCTTGTCTCTCTCTTTTAATCCCCACTCCCTCCCTAGGGTCTCCGTTGCTCGTCCCGTGGGTTGGGACATATTACAATAGCAAAGACCTAGCACCAATCCAAATGCCCATTAATGATAGACTGGACAAAGAAATTGTGGCACATATACACCATGGAATACTATGCAGCCATAAAAAACAATGAGTTTGTGTCCTTTGTAGGGACATGGATGAATCTGGAAACCATCATTCTCAGCAAACTGATACAAGAACAGAAAATCAAACATCGCATGTTCTCACTCATAGGTGGGTGTTGAACAATGAGAACACATGGACACAGGGAGGGGAACATCACACACTGAGGTGTGTAGGGGGGCTAGGGGAGAAACGATGTGGGGTGGGGAAGTTGGAGAGGAATAACATGGGAGAAATGCCAGATATAGGTGACGGGGGGATGGAGGCAGCAAACCACATTGCCATGTATGTACCTATGCAACAATCCTGCATGATCTGCACATGTACCCCAGACCTAAAATATAATAAAAAAATAAAAAGAAAGTTGAATATTAGCCCCCACTCTCTTCCGGCTTGTAGGGTTTCTGCAGAGAGATCTGCCATTAGTCTGATGGGTTTTTGTTTGTGGGTAACCTGACCTTGCTCTCTGGCTGGCCTTAACATTATTTCCTTCATTTCAACCTTGGTGAATCTGACAATTCTGTGCCTTTGGGTTGCTTTTCTTGAGGAGTATTTCTGCGGTGTTCTCTATGTTTCCTGAATTTGAATGTTGGCCTGTCTTTCTGGGTTGGTGAAGTTCTCCTGGATAATATCCTGAAGGGTGTTTTCTGGCTTGGTTCCATCCTCCCCATGACTTTCAGGTACACCAATCAAACCCAGGCTTTGTCTTTCACATAGTGCCATTATCTTGGAGGCTTTGTTTGCTTTGTTTGTTCCTTTCCATTCTTTTTTCTCTAATCTAACCTTCATGCTTTATTTCATTAAGCTGATCTTCAGTCTCTGATATCCTTTCTTCTGCTTGATCGATTTGGCTATTGATACTTGTATATGCTTCACGAAGTTCATGCATTGTGTTTTTTAGCTCCATTACGTCATTTATGTTGTTTTCTAAATTTGTTATTCTAGTAAGCAATTCCTCTAACCTTTTTTCAAGGTTCTTAGCTTCCTTGCATTGGGTTAGAACATGCTCCTTTAGCTCAGAAGAGTATTATTACCCACCTTCTGAAGCCTACTTCTGTCAATTTGTCAAACTCATTCTCCATCCAGTTTTGTTCCCTTGCTGGTGAGGAGTTGTTCTTCAATTCTTTGAAGGACAAGAGGCAATCTGGTTTTTGGAATTTTCAGCCTAGTTTTTGCTGATTTTTTTCTCATCTTTGTAGATTTATCCACCTTTGGTCACTGATGTTGGTGACCTTCAGATGAGGTCTCTGAGTGAATGTCCTTTTGTTGATGTTGATGCTATTGCTTTCTCTTTGTTAGCCAATTGAATCCAATAGCCCATTATGAAAAACATGCACCGTGACCTAGTGTTACTTATTCTTTATGGGTGAATGACACCAATCATTTATTTTTATGTTTGATCCTCTTTTGTCTTTTTGATCAGTCATATTTTTACAAATATAATTACAATGTATCATAAAGTATTTACATTGAAAAAGTATTTGAGGCCGGGTATGGTGGCTCACGCCTATAATCCCAGCACTTTGGGAGGCCAAGGTGGGTGGATCATGAGGTCAAGAGATCAAGACCATCCTGGTCAACAAGGTGAAACCCCGTCTCTACTAAAAATACAAAAATTAGCTGGGCATGGTGGCGTGCGCCTGTAGTCCCAGCTACTCGGGGGGCTGAGGCAGGAGAATTGCTTGAACCCAGAAGGCAGAGGTTGCGGTGAGCCGGTATCGTGCCATTGCACTCCAGTCTGGGTAACAACAGCAAAACTCCATCTCAAAAAAAAAGAAAAAGTATTTGAAATAAATGTGAAAATTTACTCTTTCATTATGCCCCCACAGCTCATAGCATTCAGGTATAGTAACTGTTAAAAATTTGATATATGAAATTCAATGTGGTTTACTAGACAGGAAATAATTATTCAAAGTGAGAATTAGAAAAGTTTTTGGAGGTGGTGGGTAACAAAACTTTAAAAGCAACAGAGGAGGCAGAAGGTCAGTTGGCAAATGGCGGATTAAATTTATTTACTCATTCAAAGTGTACAATTCAATATTTTTCATATATTCACAGTCATTCAACCGTAGCTTCAAAATAATTTTAGAAATTTTCTTCATCCTCCAAAAAAATTCCATTCCTTTTTACAATCATTTTGAATTGCCCCCTCTCTCCTAGCCTTATGAAAACTCCAGTTTACTTTTGTTTTCCAGACTTGCCAACTCTGCATTCATATAAATGCAGTCACGGCATGTGTGATCTTTTGTAACTTACGCTTTTTTCACTTAGGGTAGCACTTTCAATGAATTTAAGTGTTGTAGCAATTGTTCATATTTCATTTAGTTAGCTGAATATTATGTACACATCATTTTACTCATACATTTACTAGTTATTGAACATATAAGTTGTTTCACTTGTTTGATTTTCTGAATAACACTGCTATGAACAATTACATACACGTTTTCATTGAGCAGAATGTGCATTTTGCTGTTGTTCAATGGCCTGTTATATAGATGTCTGCTAAGACTAGTTGATCTACTTCGCTAAGTCTTCGATTTTTCTTTACTTTTTTCCTTAGCTGTTCTATTCATTATTGCATACAGTGTAATAAAATTATTGAATGTCTTTTCATTTGTCAATTTTTGCTATATTTTGAAATGTTAGATGTATACATGCTTGAATTGTTATTTTTCTTAATCAGTTGACTCGTGTTGCTGTGAGATATACATTTTTACAGCCTCTGCAGGCAGACCGAACTGGCACATGAGGGGGCCCAGCTGCCCTGAGGCCAAGGCCGCACTGAACATGCCCAGGGCCTGCTGGAACTGGGGCGAGGTCAGGGTGTTCTGAATCTCGTCTGCGGTCTGTGGCAGTGACTTCCCAGATGGTAAGTAGGGAAGCAGGCGCTCCTGGACGAGTTGGCGAGGATGGGAGCCATGATCTCCGGCGTCAGCACACTGGCCAGGTCCGCTTGCTGGCCGCCTGCCGGCCCAGCTGGCACATTCATGGTGGCCAGGATGCTCTGGAGGTCGCTCAGCTGGATGGGCTGGGTCGGGCTGGCTGTTGTGCTGGCTGCGTTACCGGAACTGGGTGCGGGGCTCGGGCTGGTTGCCGAGGTGGCTGCTAGAGCAGAAGGGATCGGGGTGGCACGGGTGGAAGAGGTGATGGATGACTGGGTGACCGCTGCCGACTGGCTCCGGGAGCTGGAGGAGGAGCTGCTCCCTGGAGGCCCGCCGCTCCCCAGCAAGCTGGCCAGGCCAGGTCCCGTCAGGGCCCCCAGCCCACCCAGTCCTCCGAGGCCAGCTGGTCCGATGAGCTGCATGAGCTGGCTGTGGCTCATGTTCCCCAGCAGGCTCTGCAGGCCGCCCTCACCGCCTAGCGCAGAGAGCTCGTGGCCACCGCTCCTGCTGGCCCCCAGCGCCCCGGGCATCGGGGGGTTGTTCAGGTACTCGTTGACTTTCCGGCAGTGCTCCTCGTCCTGGTCTGTCTTGGGTTCCTGCATCCAGAAGAAAAGCCGCTTGGACCCTGCCTTGAACTTGAGCACGTAGACCCCCCGGCTGGGACACTGCGGCACCCACCTGAACTCACAGTCGTCAGGGAAGATGGTGAAGTCGTCTTCCACGTTCCCGGACGTCGTGTCCTTCCAGCAGAAGTGAATGAGCGAGTCGTCCGTCTGCTGGATGTACTCCAGCCCTTTCTGCTTGTCCGGGGTCCCCTTCAGGGACATCTTTCCCGCCCGGAACTCCACCAGGTACTTGCTGGAGGCGCCTCGAGAGCCTGGCACCAGGTTTGCGAAGAGCGCGCCTGAGGTCGCCGTCCTGGGCCGCGTCCACACTCTTTCAAAAGGCGCCGTCCAGGCTGACTCCTTATTTTCTTTAGATTTTCTTAGAGACTCCCTAAATAGGGTGTGAGCCTTGTAGCCTTTTTAAGCTGTAATTCACAACGTTTATACAGGAGCCCTATTGATGTGATGGTAAGGTGTCAGGGGAGGAAAGTAATTTTATAGGCTCTCTTTTAATGAGTTTGAGTTGGTATTTCCCTTCCCCCATATCAAGGGCTAGATGGGGCTGGAGTTTTGTTACCTTTCCCCAGGTCAGTTAGACTTTGGTAAAACTCCAATAGCTTAGGCTGTGGTAAAATAGTTTCCCTTGAAGAGCGTATCTTAAGAACAGAGAGCTCAATGCCTATTTCAAAATGGTTACTGTTCTCCTCCCCCTGCTGGATGCGTGACAGGGTTTTTCTCTGGTCCTTAGCATGGGAACCTAAAACTCAAGAAAGCATTCCCCCACCCCCCACCACCTCCCACCTGCCTCCCACCCCTACCATCAAGACTGACTTCCTCAGAGGGCTTAACTCTCAAGTGAGTCTACACTGAGCTTTCAGAATTTTATCAATTACAGTTTAAAACGTTTCTACCAATATTGCCTCCAGTTGCTGTCTTTGCTCCGGACTTTTCTGCTCCTGATAAGTTGTGATTCTCAGTATTTGCCCTCCAGCCTCCTCTAGTTTTAGGGCAGCAATTTTTCCCGTGACCTAAATTCTCTGATGGCTCTAAGAAGATCTGTTGATTGTCAGCTTTTTTCTTGTTTTGAGGACCAGAGAAGTGACTTCTCAGCTTTTTACATATTAGACTAGAAAGTGGAAGTCTCACACAATGTATTTTTGAAAAATAAATGTGAAATTCTGATGTGTAATTTACATGTTATAGGTCATGAAAGAATGCATAAATTCATAATTATAACTTACCTGTTTGATATAATTTTTATAACATATTAAACGTTTTGTATAATTCATTCTATATTTTTTGCTACCTACTATTGCTGGACGCTGAGGATATAATAATGAGGAAATAAAAGCAATGTGGTCTATATCTTTGTGGATCCTCCATAGTTATGGTCTCTCTCTCTTTCTCTCTTTTATTTTTATTTTTATTTATTTATTTTTTAAAGATGGGGTTTCACCATGTTGGTCAGGCTGGTCTTGAACTCCTAATCTCAGGTGATCCACTGGCCTTGGCCTCCAAAGTGCTTGGATTACAGGCCTGAGCCACTATGCCTGGTCTTTCTCTCTCTTTTTTTAAAGTAATGAGGAGATTTAGCTTTTACATATAACAGAAGGAACTTTAGAAGTGAGCAAGTCAAGAATTACGTAGTGACTAAGTGATGTCATGGCACTTTACTTGTGTCTTTCCCAGGGCTTCATGGTGGCAAGAAGGGTGCCAGTACTCCTAGTCAGGGAGAGATCCTGAAGAAGAAAGAGAGAAGTGAGTGAAGCAATACCTTTATATTAATTATTTTCCTTCACATTTAAACACAGGTGCAAGTGGTTTAATAGCAATGAATAGCCAGTTGAAGCTACAGATTTATCATTTTCAGCACAATTAGTGTGTTTTGTCTTAACTGTAATTTTACGAGACCTATACACCTTAACAGTATCATCAATTTATTTGTTTTGACTCAATACAAGAAAATTGCTGAAAAATATTTAAATAAATGTACCAACAAAGGTACATATCTGAAGCTAGTGGCATTGACTATGATACTTACTAAGATGTATAATCATGAAATACTTTCAATTATTGATTTATATGTTAAAATCTATTTGATATATGAGTAAGAGAACATGATGACTTTATATAAAGTATAAGTATGGCTGTGTAAAAGCTGAATAATTAAAAACGTAACTGGGCTGGGCGCGGTGGCTCAAGCCTGTAATCCCAGCATGTTAGGAGGCTGAGGTGGGTGGATCACGAGGTCAAGAGATCGAGACCATCCTGGTCAATATGGTGAAACCCCGTCTCTACTAAAAATACAAAAAATTAGCTGGGCGTGGTGGCGTGTGCCTGTAATCCCGGCTACTTGGGAGGCTGAGGCAGGAGAATTGCCTGAAGCCAGGAGGCGGAGGTTGCAGTGAGCCGAGATCGCGCCATTGCACTCCAGCCTGGGTAACAAGAGCGAAACTACGTCTCAAAAAAAAAAAAAAAAAAAACTTAACTGAAAGGTTCCCTTGGGTCAACCAAATACTAAAGTAAAAAAGAAGCATACAAAGCTAGAAAAAAATTATCCAAGGTATGATGGTGCATAATAAAACCAGATAAGTGTAAGAAAGCTTATAATAGAATAGGTAAGAAAGCTTATCTAATAGAAAGACAAAGCATGTCTAATTATGGTATTCAAAGGCAACTGGGAAAACTTTTCATATTTTAAATAACAGTAAACCTTGAAGGAGTAATTGTTGGAACACAATCTAGAATATTAAATTAAAAAAAATTTTTAATTTGTGTGGGTACATAGTAGGTATATATATTTACGGGTTACATGAGTGTTTTCACACAGGCATGCAATGTGAAATAAGCACACCAATGAAAACATGGTAACCACCTCCTCAAACATTTATCTTTTGTGTTACAAACAAATCAGTTACATGATTTTAGTTATTTTAAAATGTACCATTGTTATTATTGACTATAGTCACCTGTTTTGCTATGAAATAGTTTGTCATAAGTATTTCTTTTTTACCCACTGACCATCCCCACCCCAACCCTAGTCCCCCACTACCCTTCTCAGCCTCTGATAACCATCCTTCTACTCTGTATGTCCATCAGTTTGATGTTTTCATTTTTAGATCCCACAAATAAGTGAGAATGTGTAATGTTTGTCTTTCTGTGCCTGACTTATTTCACTTGACATAATTATCTCCAGTTTCATCCATGTTATTGCAAATGACAGGATCTCATTCCATTTTGTGGCTGTGTAGTACTCCATTGTATATAGTTACCGCATTTTAATTCTAGAATCTTGTTGGACTTCCTTATTCATACTGGAATGTTTAATTATTTTAAATTACTTACCTGGAAGAGCACCATAAGGTGTTCAGAGCTTGCTTTCAAGTTTTAATCTGTCTCATACAACTGTAGCTACCATCCCCTTTTTATCCTCCATGTCTGTATACGGATCACTAACATTCAAGTAAGGTCAAGCAAATATTACACATCATGGTCACAAGGGGAAAAACTGACACAGAAAAGTTAATGGTCCTTTAACCCAGAGTCATAGTCTTCTGAATCATATGAACTTCCCTGGACACGCTAAAATCCTCATTTTCACTGCTATATTTCAGAATTTCTTGTTCTTCCTTGTACTGTTTAGGAAAAGGTCACAGGCCTCACATTCAATACATTTCCTCACTCCTTCTAAATTTACTTCCTCTTCATGCTTACTTTCTCCTTCACTTGCTAGCCCTAGAGACAGTAGCCAGGGAAGGAGGACTGGGGAAGGAAGAAGAGCATGGCAAGAGGTAAAAAAACGCAACCTCAGATTCTCCTAAATAATAAACTCAGCATTTCCTCTCACGCATTTTGCTGATTCCAAAAGGACTTGCCTGGTATGTCCTGCTGACACACATTTTCTTCTCTCCTCCCTTACTTTCCTCCCTGTTCTGCTTTCCCCTATTTTTCTTAGTCACTTATGTTTTGTCTTTCTGAAGTAATTTTGGACACTGTGTGCAGGTGCACATTTTCTAAGACAGTATAAATCTAAAATGTCCTACCATCTTCACACATGACAGATGAGTTGCTTGAGAACTATTGGGTCATAAAAATTTTCTTACAATAATCCATTACTCTATATTCATTGCCACCTGTTCTTCCTTTACATTATAGTTTATCTCTTTTTAAAATGTATGATTTTTTTCTCACATTTTTTCTCATGTACTTAACATGTTGCCAAATAATATGAGTGAGTCTCTTTTCATTATTTATTTCCCAAATACAATGATCCCTTTAAATTTGCATGTTTAATTTATCTTTATCTATTTAGAAAACTTTTGTTATTCCAATCAAATTCTTGATTATTTGTTTTATCCCATTTACTGTGATTCATACTTAGGAGAGAGTTCTATTCCCTAGGTTGTATTATTCATATCTGCCCTCTACAGATTATTTTTGTCTTACCCCTCAATAGTCTAGCAGAGTTTCTCAATTATCTTCCTTTTATAAATTTATTTTTCTACTGTCAATTATCTTTACTTGCTCTAATATGGATTTTAATTATACTATTACATTTTTTTTTCTTTTTTTTTATTGCATTTTAGGTTTTGGGGTACATGTGCAGAGCATGCTTTTCAACTTCACCAAGCTCCCATTCCAACTCTTACTATTATATGATCCTGCTCTCTTCCCATGTGTGTTTGTTCATGTCTCATAAAGGTTACAACGTTTACAAACCTATTGAGGATGACAAAACATCTAATGATTTTTCTGCCTCCTTCCTTTCTTCAGGTGCTGCCCGTCCTTCATGTTGACAGTCCTTTACCTATTACATCTTAGTAAATACAATGCTGATTTTATTTTGTTCCTTCTGTAGGTAAAGTATGTACATAAGGTTTTGCTCATGTTTACTTCCTCATATCTACAGCGGGAGGACAGTTTGATGGCCACTGCTTCCCATGAAGTTCCAATTTCCGGAGGATATTACTTTAGACCACCTGGATTTAAGTAAACTGCCATTCAGTGCTCAGTGTCTGGTTTTAAACGTTCAATTTATGGAATATTTTGAAAATTATAACTCATTCCCATTATTCATACAAGAAACGAGCACATTTCAATTCGTTTTCTACCACCTATCAGTCATTTTGGTATCATAGTTCTCAAAAGGATATCACATTGGTTTGCTTCAAAACCAGAGAAAATAGAATGGTGGCTTCCCAGTTTCCTCAGGTAAACATAGGTACGGACTTTGAATTTTTTTTTTTTTTTAAGACAGAGTCTCACTCTGTTGCCAGGCGCCAGGCTGGAGTGCAGTGATGTGATCTCGGCTCACCGCAACCTCTGCCTCCCGGGTTCAAGCCATTCTCCTGCCTCAGCCTCCTGAGTAGCTGGGACTACGGGAGCACACGACCACGCTCAGCTAATTTTTGTATTTTAGTGGAGATGGGATTTCACTATGTTGGCCAGGATGGTCTCGATCTCTTGACCTCGTGATCCACCTGCCTCAGCCTCCCAAAGTGCTGGGATTACAGGCGTGAGCCACTGCGCCTGGCGACTTTGTATTCTTGAGGTAGAAAGAGAGAGTAGGAAAAGGATGACAGATTAGTGAGACAATTATCAACATAATCATAAAATAGAAGATGGTTGACCAGGCGCGGTGGCTCACGCCTATAATCCTAGCACTTTGGGAGGCCGAGGTGGGTGGATCACAGGTCAAGAGATCGAGACCATCCTGGTCAACATGGTGAAACCCCGTCTCTACTAAAAATACAAAAATTAGCTGGGTATGGTGGTGTGCACCTGTACTCCCAGCTACTTGGGAGGCTGAGGCAGGAGAATGGCTTGAACCCAGGAGGCGGAGGTTGTGGTGAGCCAAGATAGCACCATTGCACTCCAGCCTGGGTAACAAGAATGAAACTCCATCTCAAAAAAAAAAAAAAGATGGTTGTTGTGTCAGACATGGTTTTACCCACCCAATAACAGAACACATAATTAGCTAGAGTCTACAAAACAAAATTTTAGGTAATTTAATTGTCCATAGCAACTAACATTATTTGAGCTGAAGTGCAGGTCTTGACCCGTTGGTGTACTATCCAAAATTTTCACAATCTCCTACAAATTCCCAGTTAACTTTACCTCCAATTACCAGGAAAAAGAACAGAAATACTATTCAGAGAAAAAGGAGGAAACTAATTATGCTGCCCTTATACAATGAAGACATTTGCTCTTAGATGTATTATTTTATTCTAGTAGTGTTGTGATAACTTGTGGGACAGAAAATGTAATTTCAAACACTGAATAGATCTGGACAGTCCTAATTTTTAAATTGTATATACATATATATATTTTTTTCATGTGAAAAAAACTTTATTTCAAAGTAAAATGCACAGTCGCATACAGCAGATGAAATCAGTGTTACTATTCTCAGAGTTTAAGGTTAAGCAACCTCTCTTGCACGTGCTAACTCATCATGAGCTCCCAATAGCTCAACTGAGTGGCTTTTAAGTATGGCTGTAAGGGCTCATGGTGTAATTCCTTTTGTTGATACTAGTGACAAAAGGAATTTTACCATGGGGCTGTGAGGGCCACGGTTCTGGACTTGAGTTGCCGCGTCAGGCTGGGCGCGCTGCTGGGTCCCGTGGAGCTGGAGGAGCAGTGGTGGCGAGGACAACTGACCGCAGACATTCACCAAGTGCTTCGCTACAAGGAGCTGAAGTTGCTCTCCTCCAAAGGCCAGTCCCCTCAATGAAGTCTCAGACGGTATTTTGCTGACTTGATTGCCATTGTGAGCAATCGCTTCACACTCTGCCCTTCTGCCTGCCATCTTGCTGTCTGCTTATGGGCATGTTTATGGACCGCTATGACATCTCTATCCAGCAGCTGCATTTAGTTGCACTTTCCTGCCTGCTTCTAGCAAGTAAATTTGAAGAAAAAGCAGATAGTGTGCCTAAGCTGGAGCAGCTCAACAGCCTGGGTTGTATGACTAATATGAATCTAGTATTAACAAAACAAAATTTGCTACATATGGAACTATTATTATTAGAAACCTTTTGGTAGAACCTCTGCCTTCCAACAGCTGCCCATTTCATTGAGTATTATTATCTCTCTGAAGCAGTACATGGAACAGATCTTCATGACGGCTGGCCAATGATTTGCTTGGAAAAGACTAAACTCTACATGGCCACATACGCAGATTACTTCCTGGAAGTATCTTTGCAAGATTATGCCTTTCCAAATTATGCACCTTCTTTAGTAGCTGCTGCATGTGTGGCTTCTTCGAGGATAATACTTCGTTTTTCTCCAACGTAGCCTACGAGACTACATTGTCTTACTGCTTACTCTTGGGATTTCTTTCTTTTTTTAATTGCATTTTATGTTTTGGGGTACATGTGAAGAACATGCAAGATAGTTGCATAGGTACACATGTGTTAGTGTGATTTGCTGCCTTCCTCCCCTTCACCTATATCTGGCATTTCTCCCCCTGCTATCTCTCCCCAGCTCCCCACCCCCTGTTGTCCCTCCCCTATTCCCAACAGACTCCAGTGTGTAGTGCTCCCCTCCCTGTGTCTATGTGTTCTCATTGTTCAACACCCGCCTATGAGTGAGAACACTTGGTATTTCATTTTCTGTTCTTGGGTCAGTTTGCTGCGAATGATGGTCTCCAGGTTTATCCATGTCCCTACAAAGGACACAAACTCATCGTTTTTGATTGCTGCATAATATTCCATGGTGTATATGTGCCACATTTTCCCTGTCCAGTCTATCATCAATGGGTGGGATTTCTTAATGCAGTGTATTGAACGGCTATTGGTCGCTCACGATAATAATGTGAAAGAAGCAAACAAACAGAGAGGACAAGCAGGACCTCAGTCAGAACAACTAGGTATGTTCCGGAAAGCCTCCCAGCCCTCACGGCCAGTTCACTCTCAGCAACATCAGTATCTCCATCAGACACATCAGACCTCACTTCAGTGTCACCATCCTACATCAGAACAACCAAGCCATCAGCAGATTGTATCGACCACACACACCTCATCTTATACACTACAGACATGTCCTGCTGGCTTCCAAACGTGTTCAGGGTCTTGGGCACATGCAGACTGGTGCTGGGATGTCACTGGCAATACCAGTAGAAGTTAAGCCCTGTCTGAGTGTTTCTTATAACCGGAGTTATCAGATAAGTGCACATTACCCTTGTATTACTCCATGCGTTCAGGACCAAATTTTACGGTTTCTGTTGGAAAATCCCGTTCCTCCACTGCCCTCAGGACGTTTCTGAAAACTGACCACTGCTTTCCCTTGTCCACTTTGGCCTGGCGCTTATTTCCATCTGTTGCTAAGGCCCTAAGCATTTGTGTCCAAGACTCCATATCTTCATAAAAAAAGTCACTCTTTATTCCTCTGGCCAATTCAAACAGAATGCCGAAGATTCACCAGCAGCTCTTCTCATGCTTACATCATCACAAGAGAGGAGGCTTGGAAGCTTATGGAAACACATCTCAAGCTTTTTCTTCACTTCATTGATTGGGCATATGGTCAGCAGTAGTGCCCATGCAGGAAACGAGCTGATATGAGACACTGTATTAGGGGTGCTGCAAATAACAGTAGTGTCTTTCTCTTTGAGATAGGACTTAGTGAAGATATTTTCCAAACATTCCAGAGTTGAGTACGGTTCAGTAATGTCACCTGCGGCAATACAACTGCAAACACCAAAGTAAGTTGCACAAGTTTGCCTAACCTGGATACTAGCTGCCCCATTGCCAATGATTTTCTTTAGGATTGGTCCAAGAGTTTTCACAATCTCTTCACTTTCAATTCCGGGGCCCAGCTGAATACAGAGAACAGACGCTAATGCTACGGCTGCACGTCGCTCGTCACTTCCCTTTTTTCAGGCAGCGTTCAATACTGTCAGTTAGTCACTCTTCTTTCCAGAATACATTCATACAGCATTTTTGAAGCCAGAAAAATTTTTTTTACCTTCTTAATTCAATTTTAATTATCTCAAGGGTAAATTCCAAAAAGTAGAATCATTCATTTAAATAACAAAAATGTTTTCTAAGTTCCTGTTACATGTTACCAAACTGCCTTACAAAAATGTCCTACCACATTGCACCTTCACTTGCAGTGTGGGAAGGCCTTTGTTTTAACATATCTTTTCTATCCCTGAATGGCATATTACTTTTAAAAATATTTATTAATTTATTATTTATTTTTTTTTGAGACGGAGTTTTGCTCTTGTTACCCAGGCTGGAGTGCAATGGCATGATCTCGGCTCACCACAACCCCCGCCTCCTGGGTTCAGGCAATTCTCCTGCCTCAGCTTCCTGAGTAGCTGGGATTACAGGCACGCACCACCATGCCCAGGTAATTTTTTGTATTTTTAGTAGAGACGGGGTTTCACCATGTTGACCAGGATGGTCTTGATCTCTTGACCTTGTGATCCACCCGCCTCGGCCTCCCAAAGTGCTGGGATTACAGGTGTGAGACACTGCACCCGGCCTTAAAAATCTTTTTTAAATTGCATTTTAGGTTTTGGGGTACATGTGAAGGACATGCAAGATTGTTGCATAGGTACACACATGGCAGTGTGATTTGCTGCCTTCCTCCCCTTCACCTATATCTGGCATTTCTCCCCATGCTATCTCTCCCCAACTCCCCACTCCTTGCTGTCCCTCCCCTCTTTCCCCCCGACAGACCCCAGTGTGTGATGCTCCCCTTGCTGTGTCCATGTGTTCTCATTGTTCAACACCCACCTATGAGTGAGAGAACATGCAGTGTTTGATTTTATGTTCTTGTGTCTGTTTGCTGAGAATGATGTTCTCCAGATTCATCCATGTCCCTACAAAGGACACGAACTCATCGTTTTTGATGGCTGCATAATATTCCATGGTGTATATGTACCACATTTTCCCAGTCCAGTCTATCATCGATAGGCATTTGGGTTGGTTCCAGGTCTTTGCTATTGTAAACAGTGCTGCAATGAACATTCGTGTGCATGTGTCCTTATAGTAGAACGATATCGTGCATTTTTAATACCTTCAAGAGCTGCTTGCCTTGTCTTTGCACTCTTATCCAGGGTTAGGTCAATTAATCCCTTCAATTTATATTCTAGGTCTTCTTGAGTTCCTTCCTCATCAAGGACTTCCAGTCCATCTTCAGCAAAACTGGAAGGATAGCTATAACCACTGCAATGGCTCATTGTTTCAATTGATGCATCTTCATCACCACCGGCTGGGGCTCAGCCCCTGAGCCGCTGCGGTGGGGAGTGTTCTTTTTCTTGTTCTTCGGCATCGTGGGAGGCCCTGTGCAGCCTAGAGTTGGAGCTTAGCGAGGATCAGCCCATGGAGCTACACTTTTATTATTATTATTTTTTTAAGACGGGATTTCACCACGTTGGTCAGGCTGGTCTTAAACTCCCGATCTCAGGTGATTCGCCCGCCTTAGCCTCCAAAGTGCTTAGAATACAGGCGTGAGCCACCGCGCCCGGCCTTTTAAAAAAAATATTTTTTGGAGCTGCACTTTTTACTCGTGCGTCTGTGCTGCGGACGGCTGAGAGGCGAGTCTTCGGCTAACAACAGAGGCGAGAAGCAGCGGGGGTTAGAGTGGGTGGCGGCGGCAGCAGAAATCCCGGTGAAGAGCTGTGATCAGAAACGATACATGTTTCTGTCTAGCGCGGGAGCTAAGGCCTATATTATTATTATTTTTTATGAGACAGAGTCATGTTCTGTCGCCAGGCTGGAGCTCAGTGGAACAATCTCCAAGCTCCTGGGTTCAAGCGATTCTTCCGCCTCAGCCTTCCGAGTAGCTGGGACCACAGGCGTGTGCCGACATGCCCGGCTAATTTTTTGCATTTTTAGTAGAGACGGGGTTTCACCATGTTGGCCAGGATGGTCTCGATCTCTTGACCTCGTGATCCACCGGCCTCAGTCTCGCAAAGTGCTGGGATTACAGGCGTGAGCCACCGCGCCTGGCCTAAATTGTACATATTTAAAGTATGCAACATGAAGTATTGATATACATATACAAGTGAAATGATTATTATAGTCAAGCAAATTAATATATCCATCATCTCATATTTCATTTTTTGTGGCTAAAGTACCTAAAATCTATTTCTTAACAAACTTCCAGTATTCAATACCATATTGTTAACTACGGTCTGCATGCTGCACACTAGAGATCTATGTTTGTCTACCCTGCATAACTGAAGCATTGTGTCCTCTGACTTCATCTCATTTTCCCCATCATTACCTGTGCCCCTGGTAACCATCATTCTACTCTCTATGTATTTGAGTTTGTAATAAAAAAAAATCTTCCACCTGTAAGTGCGTTCACATGGTATACTTTTCCTCTGTCTGGCTTATTTCACCTAACATGATGTCCTGTAGGTTCACCTATATTTTTGCAAGTGACAGGATCTTCTTTCTTAAAGCTGAAGAATATTCCCCTGTCTGTGTGGGTGTGTGTCCTGCAATATTTTAAATCCATTTTTCCATAGACAGGCTGTTTCTGCCTCTTGGCTATTGTGAATAATGCTGTGATGAACACAAGAACACACTGTCTTTACAAGGTGGTGATTGCATTTCCTTTGAGTATATGCCCAGAAGAGGGATTGCTGGGTAACAGGGTAACTCTGTTTTTTAATTTCATTAGAAACCTCCATATTTTTTACCATAAATACAGCTGTACCAATCAACATTTCCACCAACAGTGTATGAGGTTTCCCTTTTCTCTGCATCCTCACCTACATTGCTTTATCTCTCGTATTTTTGAAAGTAGCCACCCTAACAGATATGAAGTGATAGCTCATTGTGGTTTTTATTTTCA